ACTGAGATAAAGAATAAAATGAAATATTAAAAACACGATGTATTTCGCTGCATTGCGCGAGTACGCTTCTAGTTTTATTATAGCATCTACTAGTTCTTATTAAACACTGTATTTTTACTTTTAATATTTAGATATTTTACATGTTTTTTAATAAATGTATTAAATGAATTAAAAAAATTCTAAATTATTTATTAATATACCAATATCAATAAAACTAGTAGAACACAACTTATCTCGCTAACATTTTTAAAAAATATGCATTTTTTGAAAAAAGGAAAATAAGAATTGTTCATTTTTTACCAAAAAAATATTATCTTTTAAAGAATATATTATATTTGTTCAAAAACTTTTTACTTGACGTATAAATATATTAAATTAATTAGACTTTTTTGAATTATTTATTAATATAACAATATTAAAAAATTGTAGATAACAATTTATTTCGTTAATGTTTTAAAGAGAACTTTAAAAGATATGTATTTATTTGAACAACATACAATAAAAAAAATTACTTTTTTTACAAACAAAATATATCTCGAAAATAATGTTTCATATTTATTTATTAAATATTTTACTTTAAGAATATTTAATTTGAATGCAACTTAATAAGAAAAAGTAAAAAAAATTAAATGTTTTTTTAGATCATAACAATGAAAAATGAAAATCACTAATAATAATTTGAAATAGGTTTTTATTTTAATTTTAGTTAAGTCATCAAAATGATGTGACATCTACATCACCTCATTAAAGCCACACAAGCAAAAAAATCAAAGGGTTAACCAGTTTAAAAGGTAACAGGTTACCCATTGTTATTATAGGTAGATTTTTTAAAATACAATACCTTAATAAAAAATAATTTGAAAATATATTGTTATAATAAAAAAAAACAAAAGTAAAATACTATAATAAAAAAATTTATGAAAATAAGTTCTTATTTCATGCCTAAAATAAAAATATTTAACTGGGCCCTTCCACTTAACAGCCCAAGCCCTAATCACTGATTACTCCATCGTCTTCCTCACTGACTGGCCTCTGACTTCATCTTCAATTCATTAAATCATTCTCAGAAGCGCTGAATCATTCTTCAAGAGCTAATACTTCAGGTATTTTCGTTTTTTTAGTGATTTACTTAAATTAAAGTCTCTTGTTAATTGTTGTTGCTACTGTGAATGTGAGTATGTGACAGATAAATTGTTACTTGGTTACTTGATTTGATTTCTGAATTGTGATTAGGATTTATCATTTTATTGTGAGTCTGTGATATTCTTTTGCCATTTAGGGTTTATTAACTGTTACAAACTTTTTTTGGGTAAAGCAATTGTTACAAACTTACAACAATGTTATCGGGAATTGAATATGTGGTTAGAAATTTAGGGGTTTAGTCGTTTAGATATCGCATGTGCTATCTTTTGGTTTGTTACTTCTCTTAATTGAATGGAAAATTGCTGAAAATATTAGTTTGGAGGAAAGGGGCCAAAGATCAATGATGTTTGAAATTTTTGCTTTTAGTGTCTTATTTAGAGTTTAGTAAGTTATAACATTGTTCACGTGTTTTTGAAAATATATAAGAAATTAGGTCCAGCCAACGGTGTTAGGCTTGTGTTCGGTCACTTGTTAATTAATCTTCTTTTTCTTATGCAAACCCTACTCCCCAAAAGCAGCAGTAGCAACAGAGAGGTGAATGGAAGAGAAGCAGCAGAGCGAATGGTGTGAAAGAAGCTAGATTGCTGAACAGTTGTGAAACACAAGATAAAAGAAAATGAGGCTGTGGGGGGTTGTCGGCAGCCACTGCTACCGCTTTCGCCAGCAGAAGCCTTTAATTGCCGTTGGTGGGAGGACACTTCTAAACGGTTTAGGTCTCAAGCGTAACTTCTCAGAAATGATATCTGATGAAGAGTCAGAAATGAAGGACTTCAATGCTTATTTGGATAATCTAAAGAACCATGAGAAATCTGGTGTTCCAAGAGGTGCTGGAACTGACTCCGATGATGGTTTTGATCTTGGAAGGATGAAGCGGCTAATGCAGTCCCTTGGAAACCCTCAAGCTAAATTTAAGGTGTGTTTCTTATTTAAACCTTGATTTGGGTAAAATTTGATTGAATTCTGAAATGTAGTTGGTTCAAGAGATGCTTGATATCTTTAGACGAACTGCTAAAAGCTCAGTATCACTTATATAGGCTATTCACATTGCTGGGACCAAAGGAAAAGGTTCAACCGCTGCATTTCTGTCCAATATTGTACGTGCTGAAGGATATTCGGTTGGTTGCTACACGAGGTATTACTTGTTGATCATGATGATTAGTCTTTGTTGTACATCATTACAGAATGATCTTACATGATTCATCTACTCTGAGCAGTCCGCATATTAAGACCATACGGGAACGCATAACATTAGGAAGATTAGGTGATCCGGTATCGGCCAAGACGGTAAATTCCTTGTTCCAAAGGATAAAAGTTGTTCTTGATCAGGCTGTGCAACTTGAAATGGGGTGCCTTACTCATTTTGAGGTATTACTTTTGATGGATGTTGTAACAAGCAGTTTTAGAACTCATTAGTCATTCCCATGTGCAATTAATCCCTACTGTTTGTTATCAATTCTGTTAATGGCAGTCGATTGTTCATCTTATATTATCTCATTATATAGGTTCTCACCGCTGTGGCGTTCAATCTATTTGCTGAGGAGAATGTTGAAATTGCAGTTATTGAGGTCAATTTCATCTCTGATCTCCAAGAACCCTTAAAGGTTCTTGTTTAATTTCTCAAGATAATGGCACATTTAAGTACTCGACTGATATTTTTCTTTTTGATTTGAAGGCTGGATTAGGTGGTGCTCGTGATGCGACTAATGTGATCTCTAGTTCAGATCTTGCAGCTTCTGTCATAACAACAATTGGTGAAGAACATTTGGCTGCACTAGGGGGCTCTCTTGAAAGTATTGCAATTGCAAAGTCAGGCATAATTAAATATGGCCGCCCAGTTAGGTGGTTTTCCCCAGTCCCCATACATTCATTTATGTTATTTCAGTAATATATGCATTGCAGTTTTGTTGCACAGTTAATGTTTATGAACAATACATCTTGATTTAGCCATAATCTCTGAACCATATTTAACCACAAATAGGAATCTCCCTTTTAGGGTCTTCTGAAAGCACTGAGATCTAAATTTTCATCCGGGTGTATGCAGACATTTTTGTGTTGCCCTTTGCCTTTCAAAGCATTGGTATTCCTGTTAGTAGTTGAGCTGTCCATCCTTGTCTTCTTGATTATCTAATCTCAAACCAGGGCTTCCGCTACTTCCTATGTTTCCATTATGTAATAGCATTGTCTCTTAGCTTTCATTACATCCTTCTAAATGCAATGAAAACCTTTTTTGATAGATACTTATGCGGGTAGGGCAGGTTCATTTAATAACTATTAGAACCAACTATTCATGATGAATATCATGGATATTCAAAATGCATGATATTCATGATGAATAATATTCATGAATATTTACGTATATTCATCATGAATAGTTGCTTCTAATAGTTCTCAAATAAACCTGCCCCTATGCGGGTATTTGTCAATATTCAAAATTCTATTTTACATTCAGTGATGGGCATGTAAGTTTGACCCTGCCTAGTGTGAAAATTTTCAGGTGGTTCTAGGCGGGTCGTATCTTCCACACATTGAGCTCATTCTATGCAATAAAGCATCCTCAATGTGTTCTCCAGTAATCTCTGTATCTGATCCTAAAAACAGAAGTAAAATTAAGGGCATTAGCAATATCTCTGGCAGGCCTTGCCAAGTCTGTGATATCATACTCCATGCTGAGAGAGACTTACCACTGGTATGCACTTATATTTTGCCTTCTACTATAACCTTTTCAATCATGATTAACACCCGAATACATAATGTTATCAATTTAATTGCGAATTATGATGATTTCTTGTAAACTTTATATAGTGTATTGAGCTCTATGATGTAAAATTGCGCATGCTGGGATGGCACCAACTTCAAAATGCCGCAACTGGCACATGTGCAGCACTCTGTCTTCGTGATCAAGGTTCTTCAATACTAATACCGGTTTTTCTTAACTTTAAGGAACTTCATTGACTTTTTATACACCTTTTTCTGGTTATTTGGTGGTAATTTCCACTTATGGTATTCCAGGATGGAGAATATCAGATGAATCCATTCGTACTGGTCTAGAACGTACACAACTTCTGGGAAGAAGTCAATTTTTAACATCTGTAGAAGCCGAGGCATTAGGACTACCTGGTGCTACTATACTACTCGATGGAGGTTCAAATTATTTATGCTTTCATTGATTCATTCACATGTGAATATGTGATCTTAGTTCTTTGACACAAAATAAGTTTAAATTTTAATTTTTTCGCGTAATGTATTTCAGCACATACCAAGGAATCGGCCAAGGCTTTAGCCAACATGATTCAGATAACCCATCCAGAGGCACAATTAGTTTTTGTGGTTGCTATGGCAAGTGACAAAGACCATCGAGCATTTGCAAAAGAAATACTTGCAGGTACAGTTCTATACACTACACATCTCTGAATATTAATTAATCCCCGTTCCAGAAAAAATCACGGGAGTTCAAATATTTGATTAATGTCTAAAATACCCATCATGATGCTATTATGTTGTGGTAGTGAGGCAACCGGATGCTGTATTGTTGACGGAAGTTGGCATTGCTGGAGATCGAAATAGGACAGCTTCTTTGTCCTTGTTAAAAGACAGTTGGATCGAAGCTTCTAATGAGTTGGGTGTTATATTTTCCGAGTTTGGGGTTATAGAATATCGGGAGTCGCTAAAAGATCGATCGGTTAGATCCGATGAGCAGGATATGTTGGTTTTGAGTAGTAGTTCATTGATGGAGTCTATGAAGGTTGGAGGTGAGATCCTTGGATCAAGGTGCAAGAGTGGATCAGGGGTTTTAGTGGTTACTGGATCACTGCATGTTGTTTCTTCGGTTTTATGCTCCCTCCAAAAATAGTTTCTTGAACCTGTTTTTTTCCCGCTTTTTTCATGTATTATTAATTATGCAACTCGAAATGAAAGTGACTTCATCAGATGGACTGCAGTTGGCAGACGGTTAATCGGTCGATTCCTGAACCGGTCTGGACCATTCTCCGTAACCGGTCCTGGTCTGGATTCTTGGGTAGGAAAAAAAGGGAAACCAAGGGGATGTTCACCAAACACTTACTGGTAATAATCACGACCCTCGCTTACCTGATAACATTCTTGGCTATCAAATGGATTAGTGGTAAGTGTTTACCGCATAAAGGGTGCGTTTGGTATGCAGACTACATGGGACAGGACGGGACAAAAAAAATAGTCCCATGTTTGGCATGCCATGGACAAAAAAAACATGGGACATGGTGGGACTATTTTTAATTTTAGTGGGACAAATCTTGATATTTCTTGTTCCACCAAAAAAGGTGGAACAACATGGGACTAAAGTTAATATGACAATATTTTGATTGATTTGTTGTCATTTTACAATTATTATATGATATAAAATAACATTGAACAACATTTAGAGGTAATATGGTCATTTTAATAGTTGTCTCATTCTGTCCTAGTCGTATCAAACATAGGACAGACAATTAGTCCTGTTTAGTCCCATCATGTTTTGTCCCGTACCGTCCCGTCCCGTCATGTCTTATCCAGTCTGCGTACCAAACACTACCTAAGAGTCACCACCTACACTTACCGGGTAAAACTCTTGATCATTGCCTTCACTTTTATCGAGTAAGGTTCTCATTCATTGTTATGTTCATCCGGTAAGATAATTGAACCGGTAAACAATAAGTATTTAGTAAACGGTGTTTTTTAATATGTTAACTATTGCTTCTGTTTTTTTATTATATTAATCATTTTTTTGTTAGTATTAACTATATTTTAAGGAGGAGGCTAATGACACCCCTATCAATTGCCATTGGTTCTCCTAAAACTATTTTAATCATTATTGTTTTTATGGTTTTTAGTTTTATTTTTATTTTTATTATGTTTTGTTTTATTATTATTTTAATTTATTTTTGAAGAAATTTTAATTTAATATAAATTTTTTATTTTGTTTTTTTTCCTGTT